ATAGTACTTTCATACTTCTACTGTTGAAGTCCTTCTGACTATGTGCTCTGGCCATTCAGCCACTCAATGTGCAGTAATGTTGAAGTAGAGTTCTGTTCAGCCAGGAATGAATAAAGGGGGACAAAGATCTCTGCATCCAAATATCAAAAATAGCAATAATTGCTTAAAACCAACTTTGACATTTTACTGAAGACTGAGATTAATTTAATTATGACATTCCCATGCTCAAACAATCTATAAACAAAAAAATCTTACAGTTAGAAGGTGTTAATAAAATGTAACAGAATATCATTTCTGTGTTTTCTTTCTAATTTAAGATTTATTGTATTCATCCTTTCCAGCAGCAGCTCTAAGCTGTCTTTACTGAGTCTGATGGTTATTTATTTTCTAGTCCTTTTATATAATTACACAAACACAACTTTAATTCTGATACATGTGTAGGAAATGAAGGGAGTGAATGCATTATCAAACTCACTCACAGTATTTGATATTTCACTATTTCACAATATTTGATTTCACTTTATATGACATAGCTATGACCATATGGTCCTTAAAAAACTTCAGACACCACACAAATGCAAAACTGAAAAAAACCTCAGTCATTTCATAAATCATCAGAATAACACATTCAGGTATTATTTTCTAAGTCTGAAGCCACAGAACTAGGAAAACATAATAGGAGCAAATCAAGCTGTGAACTGAAATGTAAGGTATTAAAATGTAAAACAAAAAGATATCACTGAGTGCCTGAATAAAAAGTACAAAGCTATCACCCTGAAATGTTATCATAAAATTATATGCCCATCTTTCTTTGGAAAATATAGTCCTGTATAAAACAGATTCATTAAATTTTGATAAAGAATAATTATCAATCCAGGAACCGAGAGGATTTCTTTAATGTAAATTCTATATTCTGAAAATTTCTAAACCTTACCATCAGTATTTCTTGAATTAAAAGTCTTGAGATGTGATTGAAAGGGTTTTGATTTTTTTTTTTTGATTTAAGTATCACTATGTTTAAAAGTAATCCAATCTACCTTGAAAAGAGATTTTCACACAAAATATAAAGAAATTATTGCCTAAATTTGCATATATGTGAAATGACATTTACAGAATTGTAACTAAGCATATAGCTACACAACATACAAATCAGAATTTCTTTTTATTTCTTGTTACATACATTAAAAAAAAAAAAAAAAAAAACTGGACAGTTTTCTGAGTTAATTTTGTATCAGTTAAGAACCACTCATGAAGATGAGAATAAAAAAGAACTAAAAATAATAATTCTACATTTGAATAATTCTTAAGAGGTATCCGAGTTAGCAAAATGCTTATCTGAAATTGAAAACAAATATTCAAACAGAATAAAATTAAAGAAATGCATTTCCAAGTTTATTTTCCCCATTTGCAATATACAATGATTTATCTTAGAATGTACTTGCGTATTTAGCATTACTGGCACAGCAGCTGTAAACTGGTGTCATTTTAGGAAAGGTGTCTGGCTCCATCTAGTGACAAATTTGTAACACATCAGGCTTCAAGTCAAGCTGAATAACGTACACATCACATCTTCCGTATTCATGCAGCCAAATAATAATAATAATAATAATAATAATAATAATAATAATAATAATAATAATAATAATAATAATAATAATAATAATAATAATAATAAAATCCCGAGTTATTAATTCCTGCGTTAAAATAGAACTGTGATTTTGCAGTTCACACAAAGGTTTAAGACTTTATTCACAACCATTACACATAAAAATAGTAAATGGAAAGGAGAACTGTAATAAAGATGTGCATGAAACTGAATGTAGATGTTCTTCATCCCAAATGACTGAAGACATCTCAGTGTCCATCCAGTTGCTCTCTCTTTCAATACAATCTCTCTAATCTCGATTAATCTATTTTTTCTATCTTATATTGTCTCTATTTATGATAATCTTTAATAGCCTATCCATCCTATGGTATCCTACTTTTTTGATCCTGATTCAAGTTATTCTCACAATTTTCAATAAAAGCCATCCCTGTCAATGACCACTTCCCCATATTCATTTTTCTTAATTTATGTATTTGTCAGCAATATACATTAATATAATCTTCACTTATTAAGAACTTGGAAAGTCAATAGAGCTAAAAATATCAGAAAACCATGCCCTCAGAAAGGCTTTATTTTTTTTCTTCCTGGCTGTTCCGTTTCCAGTCAGGTCAGGAAGTGGCTCCAAACAATAGCTCCAGGGCTGTTTGATTTTCAAATTCATTGTGTTATTTGTTTTACATTGAATAACATACTAAAAATAATATTTTTTTAAAATGTTCATTTTAGACACGAATATCACCTATTTACAGTAGGGTTTATTTTATTTTATTTTATTTTATTTTATTTTATTTTATTTTATTTTATTTTATTTTATTTTATTTTATTTTATTTATTACACATGTTAAATCATAGCCCATGGTAGCCCTTGTGAGGAGGCTCATCTTCCATGTGTGTACATTATTATTTCTAAATGATGCATTGTACATTTGTGCAGAATATCTGTAGAATGTAAAATAACGTAAAAAGTTGTAAGAACCAGTGCAACAACAAATATTATGTGGCAGAAGAAATAATAAGGGATCTCTTTTCAATGTGTGGAATGTATAGCTGCTCTTTCCCATTTAATAATATTTAACAAGAACTCAGCGTGATTAGAAACATGTTATTTTTATCCATTAGATTGGAAACCAATTTTAAAAGTTGAATTTTGACAATACCTGCTACTAATTTATCTGAATCTTTTTTTTTTTTTTTTAAGATAATGTATACATGCATTTAAATTATATCCAAAAGTTATTACTTTCCAACTCTACCCTTCATTGAACTACCCTTTCAAAGTACAGTGAAAGCTATTTTTCCAATTCTACTATTGTTTTCTTATGGTAAGCAATTTTCTTCCATAAAAAGAGAGCTAGCAGACTTCTGGTATGACTCACATTGTAACACAAGCACAATCACAGTTGCTTTCAAGTACTTAGCTGCTATGTTTAAAGAGCAAGAAATAAAGGATCCTTCTGTTGTCTATCATGAACTTCATGATATGTTAACAGAAGGCTACATTTTGCATTCATGTACATCTTCTGACTAGTTTTTGAAGTGGATAAAGTTGACAATGAAAAAGAGATTTTAATGTCCAATGACTTTATCAGAAATATTAATTTTCAGAATTTGAGTCTGTGTCAGAAACTGTTATGGAGCTGAGGAAACCACTCAAATTGTAGTCCGCAGAGTGAGGGGATTGGCTCAGCAGAGAACCGTGAGCAATGGACCATTTGCACTTCATACTGAGTTGCATGTATGTTTTATTTTAAAGTTTTGTCAATCTTTCAGGATGTATCCAGGATAAAACCTTTATGATACCTGAATCTGAAGATACTATCAGTTGATTGTGGCAGTTAAGGAATAATTGGCCAATGAAGAAGATAAAAGGGTATTCATCTGCATTTAAAACCTTGTCAGTAAGAGGAGTAAAAATTGAGATACCAGACAAAAAAAAAAAAAAAAAAAAAAAAAAAAAAGCCCTGACACTGTGCAGATAAAGGCTTAAAGGCCTTAAAGCCAGGATGTTAATTCCTGCAGTCCTCACTAGAATTAGACAGAACTTGAGTCCTGACCAGAAGGCTGCTGAATTCATGTGAATGCCAGCCCCACCCCTAAAGTACAAATTATTCACACCAAAGTAGCCCAAATTTGTAACTGAGTGCATAAGTTTTGTAAAATTCCAGCTTCAGTTCTGAAAGCATTCCAGAGCTTTGTTAATTCTCTTAAATCTGCTTTTCTCTAGGTTTACATCTACCAATAATGATTTTCTGCTGGCTTCTCTCCACAGACTTACCACTTTAAGTCTCTGATAAAATCCATCTTATTACACTGGCATGTAATTCTTTGAACAAAGACAAAAAAAAAAAAAAAAAAAAAAAAAAAGAGAGAGAGAGAGAAAGCTTGCTGACCTACAAAGCTGATTAGCTTTTGAAGGTGTAGAAGGGGAAAAAGGAAGATCTTTGATATTTTATAACATCAGTGGGAGATGTTTGTGAACCCAATACGAAAATGACACTTCTAACAAGGAATAGGAATAAAAGATTCATTTTATGTAAATTGTACAAAAAGCTAGTCAAGATAGGAAAGTTGGTGCATTACTGCTGTGAAGGCTCTCAGCAAAGGCAGTGTAAATTGGCTGGGTGGGTTAGCACTGGGTGTGCCTGCTAGGTACAGAACTGTTGTTGGTACACAAATACTGCCTCCCGTGTGTGTAAAGGCTTCGCTATCAGTAAGATCTGCATGAGCACGCCCCTTTATCTTGCTTTAAAAGTAGCTACAAAGCATGGCAGCTGGGTTGTGCCTATTCAGGTATAGTTTATCATCATTTTCAATTTTCATATATTTTTAAGTACTCAGAGTGTATTGGATTTACATGACAAGTTTTTGGTAGTAGAAGGGCTGCAGGGGTGGTTTCTGTAAAGCCCAGCAGCTGACCCATGTGCGATCAGAGCCAGCTCCAGTGAGCTCCAAAAGGGACCAGAGGAGCTGGAGAGGAGCTGGCCAGAGCTGAGCCAGCGAGTGACACTGGGTGGGCCTCTGGCAGAGCAGATTCAAGAAGGGGACAATAAAACAACAAACAACAAAAATTGCTTTACAACAGCAGCAGGAGAGAGTAGTGAGAACCAGACTCACAGACCACCAGGTGAGTTCAGCAGGAGGGCAGAGGTGCTCCAGGCATGCAGCAGCAGTTCCCCTGTGTCCTGTGGAGAGGCCCCTGGTGGAGCAGGCTGTCCCCCTGTAGCCCACGGGTCCCACATGGAGCAGATCTCCACGCTGCAGCCCGTAGAGGAGCCCCCGGTGGAGCAGGTGGATGTGGCCTGGAGGAGGCTGCAGCCCATGGAGAGCCCCCGCAGGAGCAGGCCCCAGGCCAGAGCTGCAGCCTGTGGAGAGGAGCCCACGCAGGAGCAGGGAGTCGGGGTGGGAGCTGCTGCCCGTGGGAGACCCGTACTGGAGCAGGGGCAGAGACTAACCGTGATGGAGCAGCAATAAAAGCATTCACACTAACAAAGCAGTGTGGACTGACCACAACCCCATCCCCATTCCTTAGAAGAGGGTGGGTGGAGGGAGAAGGTGTTTTAGTTCTCACCACGCTAATCTGTTATCAAGAGGTAATAAATAACATTAATCTCCCTATACTGAGTCTCTTTTGCCTGTGACAGTAATTGGCAAGTGATCTTCCTTTTGTCATCTCAACCCCTGAAATATTTTATTGTATTTTCTCCCCATTCTTTTGAAGGGTATGGAGTGAGACAGCAGTGTGGTGGACCTGGGCTGCCCATCAGGGTGAAACCACCATATCCATTATGGGCTATTACTTTGTGGCTGAGTGCAGCTCAGCAAAGTGCAGAAACTGGGATCAGCAGTTAGCTGAGTGTACTGAGGTAGCTGAGCTACACTTCTGCTACCCATGCTACCCATGCTAGCACACTTCTGATTTCTATGTAAAGGAGGTGCATTTTCTACAGATCGTGTAGGAATTATAGAGTGTTAGGTCAAAAATCTCCCACATATAAACAGAAAGAGTCATACTATACACAGAGATAAAGAAATCTGTTTAACCCTCACATTGAATCAGCACTTTATACTGATAAAAGCGAAATTGGCACATATAATGCTGATTATATATGTAAGCAATTGTGCAATCACAACTTCAGTAACTTTTGTTTTATTATCTTTCAGTACTTGTGAAAAAAGGAGTAAGTTTAATTCATGTGATTTAGGTTCAACATTCCATTGGTATAACACATAACACGCCTTACTCACTCTTCTGCTGATTCTTTATCATTTGTTCGTCAGCATTAACCTCGTGGCTGTCAACACTGCTAAAAAAAGGAGAAAAAAAAAAAAAAAAAGAGGAAGCTCAGAGAAAATTTGTAGATGTAGCAAAAATATATGTAAAACGGAAATACTTTGTTTGCCACTTCTGAGTATATGTGGTTTTTATTGTTAACATTAGATTAGTTGAAAACAAATTAAAAACACCAGAACTTCTTGTGTATTTCTTTCCAAGTCAATTTCTTCTAGTGAAAGTGAAAAAACTGGCTGTGGTTTACAGCAGTCTTAGGATGACCTCTTGTGGTTGAATAATATGCACATTTTGTTTCACAGTTTCTCAGAAACCTTGATATCGAAGGTTAAATTCTGCTCATAGATTTGAACAGTTTTGTATTGCTAATTCTGCTTAACCTCAATTAACATCTGCTTACAAACATGCTATCAGTATTTGCTTAGCTCACTGATAGAAAATTCTTTTAAATATATCTCAACCTTTGCACTCCACAAAGGTAACAGGTGAGAGTATTGTATTTTCTCACATGGTCATTTTTTTAAAGTCAATTCTGTCTAATTAAGTTCATAAATATAAAAAACTATAATTTCTGAATAAAAACATACCCACCCCAAAACACTGAAGAATCCAATTAGTACCAGCCATTCATTATAAGAAATTACGACAGATACTGAAGATATTCTCATATATTTTTATATAAAAATTTAGGCAGGTCTCTAATTATGTGCATTGTTTCTAAGTTTTGCTGGTAAAACTGTCTCCTTTCAACCACAACTTCTCTTGAAACAACAACAACAACAAAAAAGTGAGAGAGAGAGAAAACCATTTCCTGGTGTTGCTGAATGCAGCCTACTAACCCAAATTACAGCATTGGACTCTTTATCCCCTAATAGATAAATTCCCTAATAGATAAAATCACCCAAGAGTCTAGCCTGCTTTCATGATGATGTGAAATCTTTCAAAAATACAGCGATTTCATGAAACAAGTTTGTTGAGAGATAGCACTTCACATGATGGGCCTGAAAGCAGTATTTTTGGATCTTGTGGTTGCAATTTCTTACTGGAGGATCACCGGTGGTGGTATTTGCACCTGCCAGTCAGTATTTACATGACCCCAAACCTTACTAAATTTAGGCTCTGGTGCAAAGCCATTTTTGCACTGGCTCTGCTGTTTGAAGTTCTGGAAGCTCTTCAGCAGGACAGGCTTGGACTGCCACCAGCTGGATGTGTTCCATCTTCTGATACACTCTGATTGCAGCTGGGGGAGGCCTGAATTCAGCTGCTGCAAGACATTACTTGTTTATGTAATGTACACTTTTAGAGATGTGTAGGGTAAAAACAAACATTGCTGATAGTGTACACAATAATGAGTCCCTCGTGTTTTTATTTTTCGTTTATATTCCTTGAAAAAATGAATAACAAACAGTTGAGTGGAACAAGCTAGAACAATGATGATGACATCGAAAAAGCAGGTTTAAATTAAAATTTAGATATCTTCACATGGCAATAGGAGGCACTGAAAATGATAACATACCTTGAAAAATTTCCCTGGATTTTGAAACACCAACAAACTTCTGTCAGTTTCTTGCATTCTATGCAAGAGGAGAATCTGGACACTGTGGGCATGGAGACTTGGGAAACAAAAACAAATAGGCTTGTTTGGGGAAGGGGGGGGTCATCTGTTTCATTCTTTTGCTGGGCTAACTCTGCAATATTAAAACCAGACTTCCTTAAAATTGTTAGCCCAATTTTCGAGAAGGAAAGAAACTTCAATACCCCGGGCACCATTTGAACTTTCAGATACTTACACTTTGCATATCAGTGCACATGATTTTTTAAACATCCAAAATGCTGTCATTATTTTCCCTGAAGTTGCTCACAGGCATGGAATTAACCATGTCAGCCTGAATCAATTTTAATTCAAACTTCAAGCTGCTAGTAGTAATTGTACCAGTATTGGCCTGGCCTGACAGGTGGGCCATAGCTCTTGCTAGCCCACCAGGGACTCCTGGACAGAAAGCCAGGTAGCTAGTGACCTTCTTCCTAGGGTGGCTGCTTGATCAGCAAACACCCAGGCACCTCGTGCTTCCCTGTGTGGCACGCAGAGCCATGCCGCAGCCAGGAGTGAGGCAGTATAGGACAGGAATGACCTAGTGAGTACCAAGTTGTCATCACTCAGCTCCCAGGTTAGGGACAAAAGTCCCATAGTTTTGCCGGTGTGGCTGCCAGCTCACAGCTCTCACTGCAGCCACGTTTCAATGCAAGAGATCAATAGAAAAGCCAAGCTGCTCATCTTCAGCCGACACAAGGCACCAAACTTGTTAAAAGCACTGAAAATCGAGCCTAAGTGTTGAGATGCAGACGGCAGACAGCTGCTGTAGTTCCTGTTGCTGGTGCTAACCCTCCAACCACACAGCAGTCTTCAACACCTCACTGAAATGTTCCTGAGCTCCAGTTAACTACATAGCTTAGTATCACCTAGTGCAATATGAGACTTTCCCTTCCAGCAAAGCCTGAAGACATATGTTGCATGTGATAGTGAATTTAGGGGGTAAAAAAGACTTTTTGTGTTGATTACAGAAGTGTAGCCACTTTGAAGAGTCAGACTGGGGACACCTAAATATGAAAGGCAGCAGACTTACCAGTTCAGTATAAAATTCACTGATAGATTTAGCACAATTCTGAGTTTAATTTTTAATCAAAATCCAGAAGCCTACAAAGGCCCGAAATTTGCATTACAGAAATCAAGATTCTTATTTTTCCAATCTTTAATTTGTAAGAGGAAAAAATATGACTTATTTCCGCATCTTGGTGAATATAACCAGACTATTTTGACTTGATCTTTGACAAATTATGGTTTTGAGATAAATTCTGGATATCCACTTTAAATGTTAATGTTAATGTTTAAGGTTAATGAAAATTGAACCTTTCAAAGACCTTTCACTTATCTAGCACCTATGATCTAATGTTCACAGTAATTATTATAAGAATCTTATAATTTATATACATATTTCTCAGTAGTGATGGGCAGTAGAAAATTTGGGGTAATCAGAAATAAAAAGTCATGCACAGACACTTAAAAAGCATTTAAGTAACATTAATAGTTTATGAGATTCTTTTTCTGTGGTCTACTGCAGTTGACCATTTTAGTGTGGAAATATTTATTCAATATATATTCACAGATAACTTTCTGTTTGTTTCATATTTAAGAAATATGAAAATGCTATCAAGCTTTTTAATAAGCTTTTTTATTTTCCAGTCAGTACAGAGCAGTTTTGCAATCAAAGGTTAAATCTCATGCTCCCTTTTTGGCTTCTCTTTCAACAATAATAGATTCATTTTCTGGCTCTGACAGGAGGGAGTTGGATTTGCTGGCTGGCTGTTGTGTAAGCATCAACTATACTGGAACTATATATACTTGGAGCAAGAAACAGGAAGAAACTAGTTGGTAAAACACAATCATAGGCTGGCAGGAAAACAGTGACTATTTGTCACTCCTTCCAAAGGGGAGGAAAACAGTTGGTGGCAAATACTCAGTACCATCAAGAATCCAACAGAAAGCTCAAATCTCCTTTTCTCCATGCCGGGCTACTCAGAGTTTTACTTCAATGTGGACCATGGCTACCTGGAGGGTCTGGTCCGAGGGTTCAAAGCTGGGATCTTGACAAGTGCAGACTATGTCAATTTAGCACAGTGCGAGACACTAGAAGGTAAGTTTGGTGGATTATTTTATTTGGGAAGAAATACTGTTGCTTGGATCTTTGAAGAATGGAAGGTAAAAGACCAAAGTATTGACAGCCTTATCTTAAAAGCCAGATATGACCCTGCTTTCCTTTAAGAACTGTTCTTATATTTAATCTAATAGGTTTCCATTGAAATTACCCTAGGATTGTACAGACTGTGATTTGAAAAGCAATCCAGATGATGGGGTTTTCTAGTTTACTGATAAATCTTGGAAATCTCATCCACAGACTTCCTGTAGGCACTGGTAATCTCACATATATTAACCATTGTACAGGACTACGAGAATATGGAAGTTTTGTAACATTGCAGCTGGGCAAAATACTTTGCAGAATCTTATTAAAAACTTACCATTCAGCACTGAATTTCTCTATAAAAGATATAAGATATAATTTGAATACTTTATTACTTCATGAGTTCTAGGGCAGTCAAGGACATTTTGCTTACCATGAAGAGAAACATATATGTCACAAAGGTAGAAAACTGAAATACTCTGAAGCTAAAGAAAAAAAAAAGTTTTTTTTTTTTTTTTCCAAGGTGACTTTGCCACAGTAATAAAAGAACACACAGTAGTTTCCAAAGCAGCTTTCCGTGGCCAAGACTGGTCACAGCCTGATGAAGACAGACTTGTACAAAAAATCATATGACATACCTTTGGACACTTGGCAAGACAAAAAGGCAACAGAAAAATTCACCTTTTTAAAGGAACATAAAGTTTCTTTCCTTGACCCCAAATAAAAGCTATGATTGTATACTGAAATCTCATCTATAATACAGAGTATATTAGATTTATTTGCAAAAAGGACAGCAAGAATTAATAAGCTTATTCTGTTTTCAACTGCTTTGTCTATGCAGTGATAGAGCTGAGGAAATGAGAAGTGAAGAATGCTGATGACTCCCACATGCATCAGAGTCTTGAGACTGTCTAAACTGTTACAGTATAAGCCTGGGAAGGTTGCACACATTAATCTTGCAGATTAAAAGAACTGCATTTAAATAGACAGATGTAGGTATTTAGCTGTCAGCTGGAAAAAATCCTCTCATAGTTAAAGAAGAGATTTTCCAGTACAGTCAATGGGACTAGAGACTGTTGAACTGACCAAGTGCATGTGCCTACTCTAGTTGATAAACTGAAGACCTACATGAGCTCTTCATTTCATACAGTGTCAGTTTGGACACACAGAACACATGTAAACACTTACTTACTCTGAGAACTGAAATGTATTCTTTATGTCAGCTAGACAAAACCAGCAGTGTATGATCTATGAAAATTAAGGACTCTACAGATGTTGCATTTAACTGCTTAAATTGAACAGTCCTGCTCCATGAGTTTACACGTGCTTTAGGAAAAGCTAATAGAGCTTCAAACATCTATAAAGGACAGGGAAATACAGAATGATGGAATCATTAAATCTTGTTCTTCATTTTTCTCTGCAGAGGAACCCTGGAGATGATGTCACCAAAGGTTCCATGAGGAAAAAGAAAATAAAATCCTGGCTATTTCTGAATAAGTTAAAAAATAGACAAGTTTAAATATATTTTTTAAAAACATACAAGGAATTAATATTTTCCTCACCCTTTCCAAAAGAATTCCTGTTCCTGTTCAAGAGACATGGGTAAAATGGTTAACCATGTCTGGAGAATGGTTAAAAATTATTTACATTTTTAGTGATTTTTACAAGAAAGATATTTACAACCAGGGAGTAGTTTTCAAATATTACTGAGATATATGAACCTTTATTAAGCAGTGTGCCCTGTTCCTTATGGGAAGATCAAAACAGAGAGGTGACATCATTTCTTAAGTAAGATTTACAGTAGAAAAAACAGCAACTTTTTTACTTTTGAACTTTCTTCTTTCTAATGTTCATTCAATTTTAGAATGCAAATGCATTTCAGCTACAGAAAGAACAGTCTTCATCAACCTGCCTACCAGAATATCTTCAGCACCCACTATCACTTCCTTTTTCTTTCCTAATCAGCTTCAGAACATCACTACCTCCATTGTACCATTTTTCTACTTGTAGAAAAAGTGTATTTGTTGTTGTTGTTGCTGTTTTAAATCAGGTTGCCATCACTTATCTACCAAGCATACTACTGAGAAATATTGGATTTGTCCATGGGGTTAATTATACAAATCTCTGTACAAATAAATGATGCTGTAGTACTGAAGTTGAATCACAAGTGTACAGTACACCAAAAGCAGACCCTTACCTCTAAATTAGGAAATGGAGTTGGATCCAGCATATGCATTTGTGTTGTAGTACTACTTTGCTTGTCCTATAATGCCTTCAATTCATGTATTCACATTCAAAGGTAATAAATTTACACCACTGTGCATTCTGTGGCATTGTACCAGACCACAAAAAGTGGAGTAAGTTAAAAATATTATAAATATGCTAAAACCAACAAGCAGAAACAAAATCAAAACCACCCCAAGTAACCCATAAATAGAATCAAAAAGGTCTTTTAATTTCAAAGTGGTTTTGATATCTCTGGAGGAGAACCCATAATGCCAGTACAGAAGAACCACAAGCAGAAAACATGGGTTAGAGCTTTACATCTGCTTGGCAATAACAGGTTATGTAGAAAAGTGAAAGGGAATGTTAAAAAGGAGGTTGCTAAGTGGCTTAAGTTAGCATTGTGTCCTCTCAATTCAGGGCCACACAGAGAGAAGTGCCCTTCAGCTGAATTTAGACATCCTTTGGGGCTTGTATGAATTATTATCATTTTCATGGAGCTACCTTGTGGTCCGCAACACTGGCTGGAACCTCTGCAACATGGCATGCTACCAGTCTGGCTCTACAGCATCATTTGTCTTGGGGGAATGGGATCTCCAGAGCAACAGCACTGGCACTGAAGCAGAATATGTGAGGTTTTACATTCAGTGCTTTGTTCTTTCCTTGATTCCTTGCCTGATGGAAAGAGAGCTTCCCTGCTCTCTAGAAGGGAAGCAAAGTCACAGAAGGATAAGCAGTCCAGCTCTGCTTCCACCAATGAAATAAATTCACAACTTGCCCATGCTGGAACACCAGCATGCAGCAGCTGAAATAACTGTAAATGAAAAGTGATGGTAGCTGGCTATTAAAGTGAGGAGTCAGACAAGACTCCATGTGCTTGATGCTTAGAGATCAGACTAATGCTTGGTTCAACCTCTTCCAGTACTCTTTCTTCATGTTTTAAATACTCTCATCTTAAACTAGCCTCTCCCTGCCATGGTGTGAACTCTGATTGTGATGATCCTGATTTATATTATTGGAGCTTGTTGATTATTATTTTCTCAATTGTTCTGGCCAAGACTATGGCATCAGGTTGACTACTGTTTTTTACATACAGTGTGCATGCTGGAATTTATTAAATTGGGTAGAAGAAATATTTCTCTAAAATAGGCCATGGAAGTGACAGGGTCATTCATCCAATATTCCTGGACATTGTATTTCTTCCATGATTTTGAGAGCCAGGTAGGACAATATCATGTGTTATGGCTAATATTTTTTATACCTTGTGATTTGGTGTAGATTCTAAAACTACTCAGACAATAAAAGAACCAAGGCAGACAATCACAGTCTTGTCAGAGACATCCTACCCACAGTAGGTTGGTTTTGGTTTCTGTTCATCACATTATACTAAACATATTTCAGAATGGTCAATACTTAGGGTTGATATTTGGGTTTTGCTGTCTGCTTTAGGTGCTAAGCTCCTGGAAACCTGTGTCCAGAATGCATTTACAGAGTGTGACTCAAGCTAGGTATCTGGTTCATTTGGAAAGGATTTGAGGAAAGCTAGAATTTTGGCTCTCTGCATGTAATGAGGTAGTGTATTGTAATCATACCATACACCGAGTATTTTTACCTTCTTTGCAGTAAAGAGAAAGTAAAAATTATCAGTTTGCAGAGGAAATTTAGCTCTTATATGAAAATATTTTTGTATTGTTTTTTGTTTTGTTTTGTTTTTAAGTTAGTCTTAAATATTTAGATAAACTTCTGTCATAATTCTGTATTTTTGTTTCTCTCCTTCACCTTTCTTATCTCTCTCTTGAATTAAGTAATTTTCATTTTTTCATATTTGGATTCTTTTTCTTCTTCCTGGATAGAAACCTATACTGAAACTTTGACTATTTCCTAGTATATGACTCTGATGACTGAAAAAACAACTCTCCAGTGCTCTCTTTCATTAACAGTTCTGTGATGACCTATATTATTTTAAGAATCAATTAGTTTAAACTGACAGCATGACTTCAATCTCATGCAGGAAAATCTAGAGAAATGCTACCAGTTCTAGAGTGCTACCTGAGCAAGACTGTCCTATCCAAAACAGTGCATTGATGTAGTCACTGGAATGAGCTGTAGTGCCAGTAAAACTCATGTAAAAAACTCTGAAGGTTATCTATCTCATAGTGTTAGTGCTAGACTTAGGAGTCAGAATTGCAATGCACTAGTTCTTTTGCATTGTCTCAGTGTAGGCATACAAAGAAAATATGCATGTGGGGAATTAGGAAAGAGTATCTACTCTACTGATGCACACCTTGCTAATGCATATTAAATTCTCTTGTAGACACACCCTTAATTCAGTTGGTGGGAGTGTTGCTATTCATTTCCCTAAATATCACTTCAGTTTTTATATGGAAATCTAATAATTATAAATGCTAAAGCCTTATAACATTATCTCAATCTATAATTTATGGTACTTTTAATAAAGCATTTGAACATAATTACACAATATAACACTTCTAAAAGGAAGTGTTAAACTGCTTTGAACACTAAGAACTGATTCAAATCAGTTTTGCTTCATGGTGGAAAATAGCTAACAGAGGAAACTTATCAAATTAATTCTTTGATATTATAAAAGATTCTTTCAACTTTGCTGCCTAATCAACCCATTTTCTCCAATTACCATGGTGGGAGCACTGGCAGAATGTCACGATAACCCAAGTTTCTGGAACAGCTTCTTAGGATCTGTTAATAGCAGCCATAAATCAGGCAAAGCCAAAACAGAAATGCTAAGGGAGGGTAACTGTGCCCTTTCAAGCACTCTCCTGCAGACCTCATTTGGAGACCAGAGTCTGAGCCAGGCAAGATGTGTTCTCTCATTTTCTTCAGGCAGCTTGATTACATGAGATTATAGTCTTACATGAGATTTAAATGTTTCACATGAAAATGGAAGATCTTAACAAAGTTACAGGATGATTCTTTTTGATACATAACAGTCTACTGTATCACAGGAGAGAAAACCGACACATTATAATGATTCAGTACTGGTGCCCTGAATAAATCTGTGAAATCAAAACATTGAGCTGGGAAGGGGTGAGGGACAGCAGTAATTAACACTGTGCTTGTTGTGACTGTAAATTACATTTACAAGTAAAACTTATGGCAGAGGTGTAAAATACTTCTGGTTTCTTGTAGCAATGAGTCTTACTCGGAGAAGGCAGTATAAATTTGCAGTAATTATGCATTTACTCTGTATCATCTATGGTAAAATCTTATGTATGATCAGACCCTTCATATGAAAATATAACATTACAAAGGAACATTTTAAATATTGTTTGATTTTATTTGTAGACAATATAATGGCATTTTATTTTCATGATCTTCCTTGAATCTAATTTCAGATCTAAAGTTACATCTACAGACTACAGACTATGGCAACTTCTTGGCTAATGAACCTGGCCCTCTCACTATTTCCACTATTGATGAAAAACTGAAAACAAAGCTACTCACAGAATTTCATTACTTTAGAAACCATGCTTTTGAACCACTTGCAACTTTTCTGAATTTTATCACGTAAGTAATATTACCACATTGCTTAAATTATGTACTCAAAGCAAAAGCACAGCTTCAGGTTAAAACAATGTAAATACATCTTAGTGGAATTTACATTAAATTTCAAAAACAGTGAAATTACTTTGATACTGTAATATTTACATACCTTATTTGCTAATATCTATTCTGAAAATAATTGTTGTCTTCGCAACCACTTATTTTAAAGAACACAAGAAAAGAAGATTTTTACTGCACACATGGCCTAGAGTAGTGGGGGAGACTGAGAAAAAACTATTATTATTTTCAAATGTCATTTAAATCAGAGAACTTGCAAAAATAAGTTTGTGGGGGTGACTCATGCAAGATGTACAATTTCATGATATCCAGTGATTTAATTCCTAGGCATGTGTCAAATTCTAGATTTTGTTTAAAGACTACACATCATATACCCACCATACTTTTTATACCATTTGAACATTAAAACCAGAACAACCTTATATTGTATATAGCAAGATACTTAGATCCAAGTGGCTTTGTTTAAAAGCACAAGTGCTGTTTGATGTCAGATTAAGAGAAAGTTCTGATCTCTATGCAGTTATAAACAGACAAAACTTGTAAATAAATGACTTAACATTAAGGAAAGAATGGGGTTCTGCTTTATAACAGTATAACAACACGGATTAGTGAAATGTCACTAGAATATTTTACTTAACTGTTTATTCCCCTTGGTCTTTTTAATGTATTCTCACAAGACTGTTCATCTTACTTTCAAGGAATATTTTTATCATAACAGTATCATTTTTTTTTGTTCAAGTGTGACTAATCAGTTTTAGTTTGTTATATCAACAGGATCTTAGAGACTGCCCTGGGACAGACTGCTATAACCTATTGGTATACAATGTTTGGGTTTTGCTTCAGAGAAATGAAAGTGAAAATATGAAAATTATGGCAGCTCTTTTCTTATACTGATTGATATGCGTATGTACACATGTGCATACATTCTGTATGCTGTTGTTTTGTGATAACAGAGACATTAGTTTAAGATATTTAACAAAACTATTGCATCACTGAACTATTTATCACCAGATCCTTAAGCTCCATCACAGATTTTGTGTGAGATCATATTAATCTCTGTATGTTGCTAGCTGTGTTTTGAACCTACAGCACAAGCTGAAGACTAGCATCCTTGTTATAAGCATCCCAAGGGAATAGCTTTCACATTTCCATTTCTGAGTCACTGATGAAACTCTTACCAGTCTCCAACAGCAAAACTAGTAAGAAGCTCATAGAAAACTTCTACTGAAAAGTTTTAGCAATAAATAAGAAATCTGTGAGACTTTGTTCATAGTTTTCTCCTAAGATGATGTTTAAAGCTGAGTGAGAAGAAAGCCTAAGACTGGTCCATCTGCAGTTTTAGTGCCTAGATTCCTGTGCACTTCTCCCCATCTGGATGTGATATAGCAAAATCCCAAAGTAGAGAAGCTATTAGCTCAGGTGATTTACTTTTCTGTACCATGCATTGTCAAACCTACATTTCACAGCTGCTAAGCTTATCATGTTTCAGTTTCCCCTTCTTTAGAAGTGTCTTTTTTGCAAACCAGTCATCATGTGATTTAAAACAAAAACTGTGTTGCCTACTTGCAATTTTAAAACTTCTGTTTGTTTTTGATAAATGAGACATTGATAAAGAGTGAATATAAATACCTGCAAATACTGTGGTCATTTCTGACTTCAGTGTTTTTAGTAATTTTCAAAAATCTTGCTTTTGTATTTTTTTCAAACCAAAATGCATCATAAAACCAATGTTAATTTATTTTATTTTTATTTCAAATACAGATACAGCTACATGATTGACAATGTAATTCTTTTAATAACTGGCACATTACATCAGCGACCCATAGCTGAACTGGTTCCCAAGTGCCATCCACTGGGGAGTTTTGAGCAAATGGAAGCAGTCAGCATTGCCTCAAACCCCACAGAGCTCTTCAATGCAATTTTGGTTGACACACCATTAGGTAGGAATACCAAATTACTTCTTATTTGCTTCTTGAAACTACTAATTTTGTATACTTGAGAACATCTGAGATCAAGTAGCATGTTTTCCACTGGATATGCTGTGCTTTGGTAACAAAAAATGTTTAAATAATTGGCTGATGAAACTGGATCAAGCTTCTGAAGTGGTGTTTAGCACTTTTTCTGGTAACATTTATTAACAGTGTCTATATCAGCCTTGATAGCAGACACAAAGAAAACACGCTACTCAAGAAGAGTAATGGATATCTTTTATACTCAAAGTAGCCATTGATTTAGAGCATCTAGATTTTTATTTCAACACCTGCATCTATAATTAAAAATTTCAAGATAAAATCTTGCCTATCCCTCACTAAGGATCAAGAAACAGACAGTTACTAATAAATATTAGATGTTGTGGTATAACCTAGAATCTCTCTCCTGAGGATTTGGGCATTATTCAAGCACACAGACAATCCCATCCTGAAGGACTAATTCTAAAGGCAAAATAGAGCTGGGGCTGGGAACTTCACATTCTGAAAGTGAGATGAAATTCTCCTCAATGTGCTGCAGTAGCCAACACAAACAAGAAAAAATACCAAGTTGTGGGGCTTTGTTGGGAAGGGTACAGAGAATAAGATGTATCTGAATAGATTTGACCATCTATGGAAGCACTGAAGTTATGGCAGGTTCGTGGTTTGGCTCCAGGCAGAAGCCTGACTCCCACTCCGCTGCTTGCTCTTTCTCTGCCTCCATTGGAAGAGGGAAAAAATGGACAGAAAAGGGAACTTGTGGGCTGAAATAGAGACAGAGATCACTTACCAGTTGGTGTTGCAGATAAAACAGACTCAACTTGTTTAAAATTAATTTATTGCCAATTAATACATATATATGTTTAATTACTGAACATTATCAATTATTATTATTATCAAAGATTGATATTATCATTTATTTATTATGTTTAATACTAAGTATTATCAGATTTTTAAGAAAACAACAGAAATTCACAGGCAATCAGATACTCAAGGAAACTATCAGGGCTATGCCCCTTAGTGTCTTTCATCTCCCAACTGGATGCTGGGAGAGTAAGCCAGGCCTACACACTCTCCCGAAATACTATCTCATGTTGCCACTGTCTCAGACAATATTCTCTCTAATGCAGCACTGGCCTGCCCCACTAACAAAGTTCATTAACAGTGACGGATTGGCATACTTTTGCAAATCATTTTATATAGTATTTTAAAGTGGCCCAGCCACATAAATGAACTTCATCCCCCACCTGCCTTTTCAAAAGTTTGCTTTTTAGCCAGTTCTGCAGAGGACCTGGAAATACAGATGGTCAGGGTCAAAGCTTGTGCCCCTTTCTAGTTGCATCCTGTTACCTTTCTCCCACTGACAAACATATCCAAAAAGGAAGAGGTAAACTAGGAAAGAGGATTCTCCTTAACAATGGAAGAACACCTGTGTGATTTAGGACAAAAATTATATTTAATGTTCCTCACTGGGAAATCTGCCTAATGACCAAACAATCTACTTCAGAGAAGATTAGGGCTTTCATTAGCATTTCCCATTTGATGGTCTTTGGAGATGCGGACTCTGCTGCACTGACTGATTCTCTTCACAACAGATTCTTATTAAAAAGGAGGGAGTATAAGGATAAGCAGAAAATCAAGAGGATTTCTCTTCTTCTTTGTGTATCACTGTGTCTCATACAACAGAAACATCAGATCCTTGCTCATGCACTGGTATGAATGGCAATAGACAAGAGATGCATATTACCAACATGTACATTCATACTGCAATATAATAAATTCTACTTTCAGCTGCTTTCTTTCAAGACTGCTTGTCTGAAAATGACCTGGATGAAATGAACATTGAAATAATGCGCAACAAACTGTACAAGGCAAGTTCTTGCAACATAACAATAATACTTGGGGTTTTAAAAGCATTTTAGAAGGTCAGCATCATTAACCCTTTTTTATGGATGGGGAAACAGAAGCATGGAGAGACAAAGCAAGCTGTCTAAGGTCACCTGGATGATAAGTCCAGGAATCAAATCCAGCTCCTCTGATTTCTACTTCAGTGTCTGAAGAGATTTCAAATTTTAGGTCTGCATCCAAAATCAAATTTAATATCTCATTAATGAAAAAGCTTTAGATGTCAGGCTAATATCCAGATCCATTTGTTTGTGAATAACTCTTTTATCCACCAAGTGCCGCAGAACTGTTATCTACTAAATAATCCTAGTCAGGCTTTTGGCTAACATTTATTTTTATTCATAAAAGGTAAATGTAATTTGAAAAAGGTCTAATTTCTTTGAGTCTAGATGGCATTTTTTAAATTAATGTTTTTGCTTAATTTTCATTCTTTTTTTTAAATTATATTTAGCATTGCTATGACACACTAATGTAAGGATATTCATCTAATATGTGCCTTGTGTTTTCAATGTACTTTACAAATATTAGCACACAGGTCAATACTTTTATGATGGTGTCTTTAAAGGCTATAGATATTTCATCCTGTTAATGGTTTCTCCCAGCATATTCTCTGCAGATTCTTTGTCATCTTTCACAGTGGATGCCCCAGACTGCAGGAAGTATTCTTAAAGTGATCCGATTGCATTAAGGGAAAAGAAAAAAAAATCTTCTATTAGAAATGATATTTTTTAATTCCCAATATGATATTTAATTCTTAAATACTCTGCTAATCTTATTATTCTTAACAATATCAGTTACTAATAAACTAGACACTTTCTATTTGATAACATACAGATTTGATTCTTATGTCCTGTATTTGTATTTGTAAATTTGTATTACAACAAACTTACAATTATTAAAACTAATATTTATATTTTTTCTTCTCACACTGCTAAGTGTCAGGAGGATCATTCTGCAAACACTTCTAAATTATTAACATATCCTTTCTCCTCTGCTTCAGCTGTCAATGTGATCAATTATGTTTCAGCTCTATTATCAGAACTCTACAGAATCTAACTAAAAATCCCATGCAGCAAATCCCCCTCGAGACATCTCTACTTAAAATTCACTTAATTGCATAGCTACTGACATCTTCCTTCAACAAGATTGGTGGAGTTGTGGCAAATGCATTTGGATAATATAAATGTTCCTTAAGGCAGTATTTTGAAGGAGGGGGAGGCAGGGGGAACAACATTTCTGAGATACGTGGGGTCCTTCCTGCTCAGGTGTATTGAAATGGATGCAAAGGAGGGAGTCTTCAATATACCAAAGGGTTCTGCAGACCATTATTACAGAAACTTAGTCCACTGTTCTGTCCTAATCCAGGGTTTTGAAGGGTAGAGCAGTAGGGATTAGTTTGTGTATTCTCATAGTGCTGGCCAAACAGCCGTGGCATATACCCAAATCCCCTCCTCCACACTATAAACGCAGAGTTGCCTTCAGCCATCTGCTTATTATGCAGTGGAAGCTCAATGGAGCTAAAGAAGTTCATTCTTTATGAATGCAAAAGAGAGCAAAGAAAGCGTAATATTTGTTCTGTAACATCTTTTAAAAACATTTAAATATATATTGTAAGAACATGGTATTTGCATTTTACTATTCAATCCAGCAAAGTAATTAAGCACATAAATGAATTTAAATTCGTAGGTAGAATTATCAAAGTTAATGGAAGTATTTAAAAATGAGATTCATGACTATGTGGTCAACTTTTTAAGTAGCATTTAAAATATTTCTCTTCTTCTTTTTTGTAGTCTTATCTTGAGGCATTCTATAAGTTTTGTGAAAAACAAGGAGGTACTACAGCAGAAATAATGAGACCCATTCTTGAGGTAAGAAAAAATTCACTCATTGTACATGAAAGTACTCCAAAATGCTTTTATACTTAAGTCACTTTGCTTTTCCTGTTTCTTCTCTCTCCACTTGCAGTTATTTGTCAGATGTTTGAATAATAACTCTGAGAGGTACTGAATTCTTTATTCTAGAATGAGTTTTACCTCCTGACTTGAGAAACAGATAGTCCAGGGAGGAGTTAGCCTCAGTTAATATTTTTCTATAACAGAACAACAAAAAAAAAAGGTTCACTGATCTTACACTGTTGTCCCTTAACATATTTCTGTATTATATAGAGAGAATAAATGGAGCTCTTATATCTCCTAGAGCAAAATTAAATTTGGTATAGCTACATTCTGGCATTACTGTGTATGAATGAATCAATATTTTTTAAACTTCATGGCACCATCATGTTTATTTACTCTTCTATTAAAATTAATGGTTGAAGTTATAGTTGAATGGCATTCAGAAAAGTCCAACATTTCAGGATTTTTGTCTCAACTCAGAAAAGTTAAGCACTTATTTTTTCCATGGTATACAACATTCCTAACACACTCATAAAATTGAGTTCTCAGTATTCAGCTCTTTTTTTTTTTGTTTTTCCTAGATCATTTCCTTCCAGGAGGAAATAATCCTAACAATCCTTTTTCTTTCTTTCTTTCTTTCTTTCTTTTTTCTTTTTTTTTTTTTTTTTTTCTGGGTAAGAAAACTTGTACTCTGCAAACTGACTGAACAAAATTCACTGAGCTTTTATGACCTCATGCTAAAAGTCTACATTATGGGAGAGAGATACGAATGAGCATAAATTATATTTTATGAAATAACATGCTAATAGGACAATGCATTTTGATGTTTTATTTTACCAGTTCATAATGTTATGGTTACTTTCTAAAGAAAATATCCTTAATCAAGTTGAATTGTCCAGAAATTAAATATTTTTACTATTCCATTCTGAAAAACAAAAATCAAGAGATTGGTTGGCAGAGGTAAAGACATTTCTCAGTGATTCAGATTTTGCAGAAAGTTCATTTTTAGTTTGACATTCATGCTGAGAGATTACTAACTAGCATTGGGTTAAGCATATTGTAAAACTCTGTTTATACTAGTGCTAACAGTTTGGTCCATTATAAGCTCTTTTAAAATCCCTGCCTAATGTCAGCAAACTTTTCTCTAAATTTCCTTTTCTACTTTAATATTGTGAAGGTAGATTGTTGAGTTTACAAAAAAGCCAAAAATTAGTTATTCAAAAGAATACTTTTTATTTATTCTGCCAAAATGAGTTTTCTATTTTAAAATCCCTAAATCCTTGACCATCACATTGCCAACCTACCACATTAAAAGTACTGGTGATCTCTCTTTGGACAACAAATGTTGCATGTTTTACCCTGAATCTGACAAGAAATTGCACTGCAGCTAGTGCTGGGCATGTTATTAGGGTGCCTTGCTAATATTCAGGTAGCAGACACAGAGCTTCAGTTTTCCCTAAGGAAACCAAAGCAATTATCAAATGGTCATCCTATGACTCCACCCTCACCTGCAGCAATGAAGTGGCCCAAGTCACTGAATAACTAACTGCCTCCTGACATTACCCTCAATGGAGAATCTTGTGTGCCAATAATTTGATGAGTTGAGAGGTCTGGCTGGATAGGACCAATTCTGCAATTTTTCTCAAGCTGGGAACCACTCCAGGATTAGGCCCCATACCTGGTAGCATTAGTTGCAATTGCCTCTGAGCATGTTTTTCCAACAAAATATTACAAAACTACCAGCTCAATTCTACATGGCTTTAATAGGTTAAAAAAGCAAAGCATTCATCCTTCCAGAACAGTTTCACTAGGGCTGATACGCCTGTTCGTATTAATAAGGCAAGTCAAATTTGGCCCTGTTACTCATTAGCTAGAAATCTTTTCAAGCACACTTATTTTCTTCTCATTATTTCTGTATTGTTTATTCATTTTCCTTACTCTGAAGTCAGTGCCAAAGGGCAGCTGGGTACCTGTTACAAAGTGTTCCAGTACATAGGAGTAGGACTTATGTGCTTCACTGCTAAATTTGTAGAACAGTGTCGCAATGGCATTTGTCAGTCTTTTTCAACAGAAAAGGGTACCTTTCTGCTCAAAACAGTTCAAAAGTTCGCAGCACAGGAAAAGTTGCAAACTGCCTAAAATCTGCACATGCTATATTTTCACTCAGAAATTTTTAGACACTTCTGAGTGGACACTTCCGTGTTCTTAAAAAATGAAGGTAAATAATAATAAAGGGAAGAAAGAAAGTCGTAGTCAGTTTAGATCTCAAGACAAAAGAACAGATTTAAATCAGACAGAATTGGGTAAGATTATTTTTATTTGCCATATTTTTAATTAATGTTGTAAGTATGGCAGGTAAAATTTTGCCTTGTAGAAAACACCAGTGCAAGATCTAGTCAACTGAATGACCTTCAGTCTGCTGCTGCAGGGAAAATGTAGATGCTATAGCCTTTTAAAAGTGGGAGAAGAAATATAGCCCTTGATTCTATGTATTTAAAAATAACTGTTATTTGAAACATTTGAAAACTTTAACTTGGCAGGTAAACAACCTCCTCCACAGAATTGAATCATTGTTTTAAATATGTGCATTCAGAAACTATATTTTTCCATTTTTTTCATTCAACATTTACTCTCAGCAGCACTTTGAGGTATCTCAGAACAGTGCTATTGATTCCTGATCCTTTCAATATATCAATATTATTATTTCTAAGACTATTATTTCGTAACTTCAAAAGGGTGTGTGAGGAGATGTTTTGTCAACAACTTGTCAACCGAGCAGGGAAATGAGGAAGTAGCAGTGTTGATATTTTCAGTACAAAATTCACAGAATAAAAGCTGTGCTTGCAAAACACTGTTTGACCTTCTAGTTAAAATTTAACAAGTATTTGCAAACTAGAATTTCCAATTTGTAAATAAGATGTTTCTAATGCACAGTTTTATTTTTTAAGCCTCCATAGTTTAGCTTACTGAAAATGAAACAAAAACAAAACAAACAAGCAAACAAATAAACAACTGTTATTTTGAACTGAGATCTCTAATAATGCCTGTTTATTCCTTATTTTATGCATTAAGTTTGAGGCAGACAGACGTGCTTTTATCATCACCATTAATTCGTTTGGCACTGAGCTGAGTAAAGATGACAGAGAGAAGCTATATCCAACCTGTGGAAAACTGTATCCAGAAGGCTTGCACCTGTTGGCCAATGCAGATGACTACGAGCAAGTGAAGTGTGTTGCAGATTACTATGCGGTATGTAATCTAATTTCTTGAAAGAATAAAGGATTCATCAAAGATACAAATACAAAAGATCCTGCAGAGAAATATATTGAATCAAAGGCCTTTGATATAAAGACAGAGTAACTTATTATCCTAGTGCAATACAAAGTTCTTCTTACAGCAGTGTTTAAATACCACTAAATCACATCATAATAAACAAAACTGTTTTTACTTCATTAACCCTCCCCAAATTGAAGTTCACAGCTGCTGCCTGATTTTGGCACAAAAACATGTTATTTTAAAACAAGAGGATCAAATAATTCATGCCACACATGACTGCAAACCTCATTCTTTGCTAGTGTACTGTAAAAATAAAATGTTCTTAACATTTTTCCCTAAATCACAGATTGAATCCAAGAAGTAGATGGAGTTATTAATACTGATGCAGCTAGCACTGCTATTAAAGATGAACCAATATAGAACATTTGCTCTGTAAATTAGCTATGGTACTGTGATTACTTTTAATATTTAACCTACCTCAAAGTAGGTACACCAAACAAAATTATGTCCAGTCTATTGATTTCTCCATACCTGTTCCTGTGCACAAGCAGAATGATAGAAGTACGTTACCATATCAAATGTGGGACAGAGCGAGTATATTCATGTGATGGTGGGACATTTAGATGAATTTGGGAACCATTGTACTAGACCTATATTGTACTGCTACTTTATAGGAAAATCATAACCAACACATGAAGAAGCAAAACACACAGAAAGGTAACATAAGAAACAAAGTGCAAATATGTCTGTGCATATTCCAGAATATTCCAGTTACATATCAGACTGATGGATTACAATATTAATGCAGATAAAGCAAATCTAGCTGACTCCTGGAATAAAATGATCACTCATGTGAGGATCAGAGTTCAGGGTTTTGGCTCCATTTACAACTCTGGCTCTGATGGATACTATTTGTACAAGAAGTTCAGTACTCTATATCCAAAGGAGTGAAAGGTCATGTGTCATTCTGCAGTCAGTCTCTTTCAGTGCCTTCAGAAAATTACTTTAAGCTGTAGGAAATGACAATAAAAACCACAAGAACAAACAACTTTTTTTTTCCTTCTATTTATTTTTGGTGACTATATGCTTTCAACTTTTGATTTATAGAAAATTGTAATCTATACATGAGTTCCACACAGAAAGATTACTTAATGTAGATTAATTAATAAAGCAAGGTAGCTGTGATGCACAAAATGCAAAAGTTCCTTACTTCTGTTGTGTGATTGTCTATGCTTTCAGGAATACAAGGCTGTGTTTGAGGGTGTAGGGAGTGACGCTGGAGAAAAGACACTGGAAGATGCATTTTTTGAACATGAGGTAAGAGGGTCTAACCATAAAATATAAAAATGAATGTTACCCCCCCCCCCCAAATAACATTTAAAACAATGAGATACTATGCTTTTGCTTCTACTATATTGCATAATTCAGTTTTATATTCAAAAACGCAGAATTGTTATGACTGCCAACTTTTCAATGAAATGAAATAGGATTAACCTTTTTAAAATAAAATAAATCCCAGGGCATTTTTTTTTGAAGAATAGCTATAGAACTGTCAACCCTGATAGCCTATCTGAACGCCATAACATGTAAAATGCTTAGTGAAATTTCCCTTGAATAGTCTACTGAAGAAGGTATTTCACCACTGCCCTTTACTTTTTACTTGCCTCTACTGCTGCTGTAGTCTGTTACCAAAACAGATAACCAGAGATGACATTTCAATTATATTTCTACTTGAGTCTCTTAATCAGTCATGATTGCAAAATTACGTAGAAATCTTCATGATGAAAGCTCCCGTTTAAAAATCCCACTTGCTTTCTTTAATATATTACCATAATACTTGTTTAATCTTTTCCACAGGTAAAGCTGAATGTGCTTGCATTCAATAACCAGTTTCATTTTGGAGTATTTTATGCCTATGTGAAATTAAAGGAACAAGAATGCAGAAATATCGTATGGATTGCTGAATGCATTTCTCAGAGACACAGAACCAAAATTAACAACTATATTCCAATTTTCTAAATCTGAGAATTTATAACCTACTGTGCTTGAAAAGAAGTAGTATTTCATATAATAGAAGAAAAATGTTATTTTAAAAGTTAACTCTTATGTTTTGAGTTGTATTAGTGATTCTCCTTCTATAGTGCAGTGTGACAGAAAAGTAATATAGTTATGGATATATGTATCAGGAAATATTAATGGACTCATTCATAGCTTTTGTGCCCATTTTAATTTAAAAGATCAATAAAAAGTCTCTGGAAAGGCCTTATATGCATATTCATTCTGTCTTGTGGAAGTAAGTTTTACACCAAAGATGTTTGTAAAGCTCTTTAATGCTTACAGTTTAATTAACAGTTAATTTATTATTAATTAATTAATATATATAATACAATATATATACAATAATATAATTATTATATATATACATATATATACAATATATATATACATATATATATACATATATATACATATATATGTATATATATATACATATATATATATATTGTATATATAATATATACAATAATATAATTATTGTTAATTAATTAATTAACAGTTTTTTCAAAACCACTACTTCTGTCTTACACTTATAGTCTTCTTCATGGCATACAAGATTCTATGAAGGACTTACAACACAAACAGGGATAAACTTTAGGGTTACTCTGAGAGTCCCCTCAAGGAATTTCAAGAGGGAGCTTCCTGAACCTTCGTAACTGTGAGATGTCTCTGGAGTTAAGTGTAAATATGTAAGTGGGATGTCATGGACATGTCTTCACTTACTTCTTTACGGTCACTTGAGGTGCACCATAAGTGTCCAGCAGGTGTCTGATCCACTTCACAGCAATATAATTATCTCCTCCAGCCACACCAAAGATACCGTCTTCATGTATGCACTAGGAAAGATTATGAAACATGAATGAAAATACCAGCCAAGTCTGTATCAGTTTTACATCAGGCACAAACAACACCAGCTCTGAGCTATTTAGGACCTGGCTAAGATCAGTAACTAAAAATAGAGCAGACAGTTGAAGCCAGATTGTAGTAGGACAAGATTAATTCTGCTGAGGAAAAAGAAAGGATTTTGAAAACCTCATCAACATTCTGCCTTCAGAATCCATTCAAGAAATTTGCCCTCTTGTATTTCAAACAGGCTATACCTTGATTTTCTGCATGATTTCTTAGCTTCAGGCTGGACCACAGAAAATCTCAATCTTCAGCTGAGTATGTAATAAAATCCATTTCCTGCTGAGTAAACAGAATATATATATATATTATATATATATATATATGATTTCAACACCTTAGAGTTATGGAAGACATTCAGGCATCATGTTTTTAAGAACTGAGATATATCTCTCCTTGTAACACATACATGCAGACATATATACATACATAAAAAACAGAAAACGTCACCCTTTTTATAGCTAAAACCGCACTGCTTAAACCTGTAAATGTAACCAATGGGTTATATCCCAGGACATCCCATACAGATTTAATAAAGAATTTGGAATATTTTCAATATTTTGCTTTATCATGAATCAGTAAGAACTTTAAATAATTATTTTAAAAATACTTTCATTTAGAAATAATTTAGTAGGCATTTAGGAGGATTGCCTAAATAGGCATAATTGTAAAAGAAAATAATAAAATCTTATTTCCATATTTAGGCTTCTTTATTCTGTAAACCTAGTAATCCAGAAGCAAAACAAAACAAAACAAAACACCCTGACCTGTAAGATGTCTGCATTGCAACTGCAATTTCATTTTGGAATGTGCATCTGGAATGTGTATTTTTTAATTTGTATTTCCCATGCTAATCTTTGACCAACATTTTCCAGTTCACACCTATATTGCAAACTATATCATAAACTGCAGAAAAAAAAAAAAAAAAAAAAAAAAAAAGCAAGAGGGCTGCATTGTCTCAAATTTGCATTTTCTACATAGTTTAGTAATTGCATAAGAAAAAAAAAACTTAAAATGTTATGAGCAGAAGAACAAAATCAACTGATCTAGGATGCAGAAACTGAATTCTTGCCTTTCAGTGCAGTATTTATAAGAATACTTTTTCTGTGCTGATAGATCAAACCTCCCTACTTGAACAAAACAAATCAGCTGGCTTTCTGCCAAGAATTTTCTGAAGTGATTTGAAGGGGAAAGAATCTGCTCTCCACCCTAAATCATTCTGTGCCAGGGAAGATATGCAGCTGCTGTTGCTACAGTCCATGGACACTGTTAGCTCAGAGAGAAATGAGTAGGAGTTGCAGCTTACACAATTATGTTGTCAGCAGAACTGGTCTTTAAACTATGGAAAAAACAGCATGAGTGTTGATTTTTTATTTTTATTTTTTAAAACCAACTTTCTAGATATTTGCTAAGTAAGCACAGGAAGTAACAGGCATTGTCTGTATTTCATTTAAGAATAAGCAACAGAGTCGACAGACTAAGAAGGAAATTGGGACTTCAGAGTTACAATTCCTCAAACACCTAGCTTTTTTTATAAATAGTATAATTTAAATTACTTTCTTGTTAACAAATTAGCCTCCACGCTAGTCTATATACATCTATACACAAAGAAAAATATTATAACATGTAATCTCTAACAATATCTACAGCGGAAGTCCAGATCACAAAATCACTACTACAAGCATCATTAACTTAGTAATGATCTGTCACTTTGTGGAATAGGGGAATATGAGACAATGAGCTACTTTTCTTGTTCTTCTTTGCATTTCTCAACAGGAACTTGTGTTCCCACGCTTAAATGACTAAACTTACACAGGCAAGTTTGTTCAGTATGATTATCATGACTCTGCCCCTTTGCCTATGTCTTCAATGTGAGATGAAGAACAGGACCAGGCTCGAACTTCTGCTGAGCTCTAATAGCTATGAATCTTTCGTTCTCTTCATTTGCTGTAGCCCAGGCTTGAAGTGTTCACAAACAGCTCAGCATCACTGAACTGTGGATGGACAGGGCTGCAGTGTTTCAAGAACTGCCCACGAACAATCCCTCCTTCCAGCACAAATGATAATTTGCATCATGCTTGAAAAAGAATATTGTTCACTTACAGAATGAACAAGAGCAGAACATGATCTTAAGACTAAATCTGAACCTACAATCAGTCAACAGTCATAGAGACTCTCTTATTCTGGTTCTAGCAGTTCCAACATAACTTTAAGGTAAAAATAAATAGAATCCAATACCATACTTGGCCTATTCTGAATATTTATTGAAGCTAATATTGTGCAACTTCATTTTCTTTCATACATGACAATATGGTGCTTCCTGTTTTTAATAATTATGCCTAAGTAACACAGTATATTTAACTTTTCAACAATTCTACTTAAGATCAAAACAGCAGATCCAAAGTATGTGGATGGAGGGATGGTTGGCCATCATTCTATTTGCATCAGAATTATGAAGTTGTTAGCATGAAGATTAACGGTTTAAAAAAGAGACGAGACAAAGTCCCATGATATACTGGACAAGTGGAGTACTTTACTAAAGAGAGTGGGAAAATGGCGTAATATAAATCACAAAAATAAATGACAATGATGTCTATAAGACAGTCAAAATAGTGCATAAGGTACAGGAACTGTTCTCAAATACAAAATAAATTATTCAATATATTGGGATATCTCCTGAATGACAAATGAGAAAAGCAAGTCATGGAATTCAAGAAATAGAAAGACAAACCTCACAAAGAACCCACATAAGGATTTCATATTAATGACACACAGTGAGAGAAACATTTGAGAATTAGAATGTTTAAAAGATTTTTAGTAAAATCCATTAAAGTCAAATAAAGCAAAGTATTTGCATTTTCAGCTATACTGATTTAAAACAGCGTGGAGGAGGAGATTTGGGACAAGTACTGCATTCTCTTTATATTGTTCAGCACAAAAAGCAAATGACAGCACTCAAATAATTACAGGCCAGACCTAAACTCATCAGAATTGTTTATAACTACAGCAACACTTTAGTGAAGTTTGGCTGAGCCCTACATGAGTGTTGTTTACAACCTCTGACTGCAGTTACCAAAAATCCAACCAAAAAAAAAAAAAGAAACAAACAACACAAACAAACACAAGCAAACAAACAAACAACAAACAAAAAAAACACAAAACAACAAGATTGAGTATGCACAGCTTGGGGACCAATGCTGCTTCTTCTCTGGACAAACAAAGAAGCAAAGATGAGGAGGTCACATAATCTCTGTCCTTGGTAAAAAAAATTCTAAAAACTCAAAAGCAGAAATTAAATAAGCTTCTCTTCCCCCCACCCCACCCCCACCCCATAGATTACAAAGGAGTTTTGACAGAAATAGCTAATTTAATATATATATCTTTTAGCAAAAGATAAGACTGAGCCATCATAACTGTTACAAAACTGAAGTGTTTTTATCTATCGTCTGCTACACAAAGAGGGAGTACCGACACTGTTACAAACGTGTAGAAACCAATAGAGACAAAATAAAACAGAAGTTTATTTATAGCAAATATTATGACTTTTGTAAATGTATGAAAACCACAAACTCCAAATTACTCAGCATGTTATAAAATCATCTTGCTCAAAAAATTAACAAATGATTTAACAAAATATATAAAAGTACAATAAAAGCTACCATAGGTCATAGTCCACTAGTTTGCTCTTAAGGAAAAACAAACAAAAAAGAGCAATCTTTTTGTTCTTCTTTTTGAAGTCAGTGAGAGCAGGGTTAGAACCTCTGGGGTTCTATATTTTCTTATATATATACTTTTTTCTTTTATATATATATATATATCACATATGTATTTATAGCCCCATTTGCTGTGGGCCTGTAAGTTGTATACAAATGTATATATATATATATGAAAAGCCTGAAGCTGTTCTTAGAGCTGCCCAGTATGTTAGACTGCTGTCCAGCAGGCTGCAGCAGCCAGGGTGCTGAGAACTGTTGTGCTAGGTGGTTAACCAGCATGGTCACTGTGCCCAGCACAGGTCACAAAGCACTGAGCAGCAGATAACATTTTTCTTAGAAACCTTACGTGTATTAGTGTTGATGGCCAGTGATATCTATTTCTTTGAGCACATTTCTCTAGCACTCCTGGTTGGCAGGAGGCAATGACATAGAAGTTCTGCTGACATTGTTATCACTAACTTCCCTCTCTGGTCTCCATGATCTATCGTTAGAGGACTTCTGAGGTTCAGAGGTTTCAATGTCTGACTAAGTAAACAAATCTATTCATTTCAGTATATTGGAAGCCAACCACATGAATCCTCCTCATTTTGATCACTACAAGCATGTGGAAAACAAACAGCCACTGCTAGTAAAGTATGCTAGTAAATGTGACTGGATAGAATCACGTCATCACTTATGTATCAAAGCTCTATTTCTATCATTCTAATGCATTTAAAGGTGTGAGCTTTAACTTTTTTTTTTTTTTTTTTTTTCTTAAAAAGAGCTGCAACACTTTACAGCTTCCACCATGAAACCAGTGGCTATCAATCTATAAGTAATCCTATCAGTGCAGCCTTTTGCTCCCATGGTTTTCAGATCAGTCCTTGCTATTGAATCACAAGTAGTAGTTTCTAGTTTATCTTAATGCTCTCAGGACCTTATCCTTACCAAAGCTTAAGTCAAGTTTTGTATTTAAACAAACTCTTGCCAAAAGTGTTAACTCATTGATCAAAATGCCTGCCTTTCTAGTCAGGCCTACTCATTCTAACCACATGTGCATTAAATGCTATTTTATCTAAGTGTCTCTCAGTAAATCAAATATTTAATTGCAAAAGTCTTCAAGAGGTGTGGGCCAGACCTTGAACAAACATTCCATCTAGCTGTCCAGTCTTGTCCTTGATGTGGAACCTTCAGGTTCCTTGGAACTAACTGAAGAAAAATGTTAAGTCACTGAAACAGATTATGGCTACTCGCTCAAGAACTCAGAGTACTGTGAACTCTGCAACCTGAAACTGGATTTGAGACCTAGCAGGATAATAAGCAGGTAATGAAGTAACTAGAAAGTTCTTTCCTGTGAGTATTATGAATAGGAATCAAACCCAAAGCCAACTGCAGGTGGGAAGAGTGGTTTACTAATGGGCATTATTGACTGGAATTAAACTGAGTAGTCCCTATACTGCTTTGATGATCTCAAGAAATGAACAGAAAAAATGCCTGCTATCATAGTTTAGTAACTGTATAGAGGATTGATTAATCTCAGAAGCCTCTTTATAGATATCTGGGACTTCTGGCTCCAAAGGAAAATCACTGCTATGGGAAGGTCCATACTGTTCTTAAATATCACCCAATGAACGGCTTCAGAGACGACTTGCCCCTACAGGAGACTGAAACAGTACAGCTCACTAAGTAAACTAAGCTCTTCTGATGTTTCTATGGTTTCTTGGCAGCAGGACAGTCAGTGAATACCCATTTTGTGAGAAATAACAGACAAATAAATTTTGTAAATGGCAGTTCAGAACAATAGGGAGAGTCTCATTTCTGGGTGTGAAATAAACAGATATGGTTTAGTATCTCACAACAGTTTTAAACAAGACCTCTAATGCTGAAAAGGTTATTTGCAACTATGTCTATGCACACTGGGAAAGTGGGAGGAAGATTCTGAAGTAGAGACAACCACCAAGGAGATACGGGAGCCATAGAATGGTTTGGGTTGGTAGGAACGTTGAAGATCATCCAGTTCCCACCTCCTGCCACAGGCAGGGACACCTTCCCCTAGACCATGTTGCCCAAAGCCATGCACGTACACCCATAACCAGCATTACCTCAGACATGCTTAGGTTCAGTTTTAGCCAGCTGCTGCTTTTGTTTAAATGTTAAGCTGGACAATATAGGGAATGTACTATCTGAGATGCTGACAGAGGACAAAGTCAACCTAGCTCTCTGCCTTCTAATAGATTTAAATTATTTTTTCTTCTTAGGCTTCACCCTTCTGGACATAAAAGCATATATCATATTCCCCTTTTGGGAATAAAAGCAACAGCATAGTTCCATACCAGTAATAAGTCTCTGAAATACTACAGACAAAACACGTTTACAAAACAATATTCACTTGTATTCTAATGAAGCGATAGCAATTAAAATGTGGGAGCTCTCACATGTCCTACTCCCTGATTTTACTTACAAAATAGGTAAGATATGTAGGTATGTTTTAATTTGAAATACGATATCTATAGCTCTTAATCAAGATAATGAGGCCCCTCACCCATTAGCAGAGTACACAATTAAAGCACTAAATACTGAAAGTCTGCCAGGTACATGGCTACCTCACAGGGTGTCCTAACATTAAGATTTGTTTCTTCCCATGCACTGTCTGGACTGCTTAAGCAACTCAAAATGGATCCTGCATACTGAGCAAAGAGACATATTGCTGATTAACAGCAAATGCTAAGCATAGGGCATATCTATATTTCACAGAAGCATAAGTGAGCAATCCAGTGCTGGAAAAGGTACCTGTATCTAATCAGCATCTAGAGGCTGCTCCTACATATGGATGCCAACAGCTGCATTAACTTATCAATTAAAGCCCTCTGCAGGGAGAAGATCTTGGGCTTGGTCCCTGCTGCGAGAACCAATTCTTTATCTCTATTCAACAGAAAAAAGAGCTGAAACAGTTTTTTTGACTGGCTCTTGAACAACCCAGGCTCAACGAAGCATTCTAACCAGCATAATTTTAAGGCATGAACTTGCACAATTAAGACATTGGAAACCAGATGAAAATGGGCCCTGCAACCAACAGATCTCTGGTCTCTGGATGTCTTGCATATGTACAGAGTGACTCTGCATGACAGGAAATGACTTGGAGTTGCACCAGTTCCTTCTTCTAAGCAAGTTTAAGCAAGACCTAGTCACTAACTTGTTCAGACTGAGACAATTCTGAGCAGCCAGTAAAACCAGCAAACAACTGGAAAACTCTGGAATCAAATAACAGGTGAATTCAGACATTTCGAAGAGCTGAACAAAATTTGCTTGGAGCAATTTTAGAATCAAAAGCTTCAAGCATGCCAGAGTTCTGTTTTCAATGCCAAAGTCCTAATTGGTTTAAGTCCTATAAACAAAACAAAGTGGAAAAATATTAACACGTTCATGCTAGTGGATCAAAGAACAGAGTGATTTCCCAAGGCCACTTTGGCAAAAGAGACAAATACTGAACACACATTTCTCATGCCACAGCCTGGCATTTCCATCAGAAGATTCTTCTTAAAAGATTTATTTCCCCAGATAATCTCACCAATAACGCACAGCTCTCCTACCCATCCCATTCCCCCCGTCCCCCCCCCCCCCCAGGAGTTGATCAAATTATCATCAAAGAATAACTACCCTGAAAAGACTCTGTTTGCTCTGCTGTTGTGCTAAGCAACTGAAACAAAATCAGTCTTTCCTTGTAGATCACATTTTCTAGATGCCTGATAAAATCTGTTGGTTTGCTCTGGACTCTTTCCAATTAGTCCACATCTTCTGAAGTGCACCAAT